GTGGGTTGCCATTGGGCAGTTAAAGTTGCACCCCCCCGCACACACACACACACACACCCTGCCGTCATGATGCTCACACAGGGTGTCTCCCTGTGGATGCCATGATCTTGTAGAAGGCAGAAAGAAAGCGGCATTGTGAAATGATTATCCTCACAGCCCACAAGCTGAGCACTGAACATTAACCGCGTTTCCTTTCCTATTGTGCAATCTGAACCGACAACATGATTTATGGCAGAAATTACATCAAAAACTGGAAGCCGCAATATTTGTTTATTAAACATCTGCCGTGTCCTCCCGCAGTTACCCACATCAGAAATAAACGACTCGATGAGCGGTAATAAAGAAATAGACTCATTCTCTGGCTGGTGTGAAGGAATTTCCAATACGTAGACAACCCCGGATAACCCCTCCTCGAAGGACGATGTACCTACAAGCTGCAAAAAGATGGCTGATGTATAGCGTATGGCTGGGCAAATGCAGTTCTCACATCACTACCGCCACCAGATGGCGCCGGGGAGCATAGCAATTACCCATCAGCACCATCTAGTGGCGGTCGTGACGTTGGAATGGCAATCACCCCCCTTGATGCTCCTTACTGTCATCCAAGGGTGGTACCGCCATGTGATTAAATTATCATAAATCTTTCAGAAGTTTGGAAAGATGTCTTTTTATTTCCTGTTTTGTCTCTGGAAGAGGAAATGAGTGGAAATTCACCCAACAGCTTGAAGCTGAACTCCGGGATAAGCAAATGTTGTCCTCATACAAGAGCCATGTGAATCCTTCTGGAATCTTGGTGAGCTTTGTGTATTTTTTCCAGATCTGTGCAGTCATCCAGTGTGAGACTTGGAGTGTCCTGTAATAAAGACCGGTCACTGCTGCTCTCTCTCCTTGTGCAGGGTGACTGGTCTTGTCTCTGCCCCCTCCTATAATAAAGACCGGTCACTGCTGCTCTCTCCTTGTCCAGGGTGACTGGTCTTGTCTCTGCCTCCTGTAACAAAGACCGGTCCTTGTGCAGAGTGACTGGACTTGTCTCCGCCCCCTCCTATAATAAAGACCAATCACTGCTGCTCTCTCTCCTTGTGCAGGGGGACTGGTCTTGTCTCCACCCCCTCCTGTAGCTTCATTAGTGGGTGGGACCTGTCTGGTTCCTCCCACAGCTCTGCTCTTTGCACAGGCTATGTGCAGCACAGTGATGATGCTACATGTACAAGGTAATATCTGGGTCCGCAAAGGCATTTGGTGCACACAAAGTGGATTCATATCCTCTGCGGCTTCTGAGGAATATATTTCAATACAAGTTATAAAAGAACGCACAGCATTATCTTACATGCATTCGATTTTGTCCTCGGTATGGTTCACTTTTGCGTTTCTATGAAAGCTTCATCTTTTAAAACTTTATGTGAAGATCTTAAAGATGGCACGTCGAGCGCGGGGTTTTCTTCCTCGAAGCATCTGGCTGCATATCCCTCCTTTAGCCGCTGTTGACAGAGTTAAGACGCAATCATTAGCTGTGTTTGCCGTCGCCATCCGCGCGAGATCCTGGCGGCAGCTGCGCATTTTGCAATCTGATGAGCGGCTGTCGAGCGTGGAGGAATCGGCACATCTGTTAGCCGTGATTGCTTTGTACACTCTTACAAGCCGCCTCCGCCTCCGCGCCATCGATCGGAAGTGTACCCAGGACGGATCGGGACCCCCGGCGTTTCCCTCCGGCCCGCGCCGCGTATCCTAATGTAATTATTGTCTCCAAACAGGTTTTGATTTTGCGATATTCCTTAATGAGAACTAGATTAAGAATTAATTGTACAAATAAAAACAGCTTGTCGGAAGCCTTGGGTGATGGTTGTAGGATAGGAATCAGATGACGGTTCTTGTTTGACAATCTTCATGGGGGCGGGGGGTGGGGGGGTGCTGGGATGAAAGACGTGTTGAGTGCCATGTGCTCCTTTGTTAAGTGTATTGGTGGTGATGGGAATTTCTATAACGGTGCTGGAGGATTACTGTACAGAGAGCACACCATGCATTTTCTATGATACTTTCTTGTGGTGCTAATATTGGAGCCCAATAATACCAGTCATAGCAGTGGGGAAGGAATAGAACCCTTAGTTAGATTTTGCTATGTATCCCGGTTGGGCTCATTTCTCCTCACTTCCTCTCTGGGGATACACATTGGGACAAACATTTGGGGAGGAAATGGAACCCTTAGATCGATTTTTCTAAGTATCCCTGTTCATCACATTTCCCCTCACTTCCTGTCTAGGGACACACATTGGAGCAAACATTTGGGGAGCAATACAACTTTTAGTTAGATTTTCTATGTATCCCTGTTGGGCACATTTTCCCTCACTTCCTGTCTGGGGGCACATATTGGAACAAACATTTGGGGAAGGAACAGAACCCTTAGTTAGGTTTTTCTATGTATCCCAGTTCATCACATTTCCCCTCACTTTCTGTCTGTGGACAGACATTGGAACAAACATTTGGGGAAGGAATATAACCCTTAGTTAGATTTTCTATGAATCCCTGTTGGGCTCATTTTCCCTCACTTTCTGTCTGGGGACACACATTGAAACAAACATTTTCAACACAGCGCCCAAGGAGGGCATATAACCTCTACCCATGTTTTTTTTTTATTGCTGTCTGCTACTTCCTGTCCTGGTGACAACTGCATCCCTCTACTTCATATATGAGTGTTGGGAGCAATAAGTGAAGCACTCTGCAATGGGGTCAAAGAGAAAAATTACACATTTTAGCTCTTCACTACTCTATCCAAAACTAAGGACAAAATGGCTGGATTATAATCCCTTCAGTCTTGCACACTTGTACCGACACCTCCCCTGGTCTGCAATTGCTCACTTTGATTTCACTGCATACTGTGAGCTTCTCACAATGTGTATAAGAAGCTGAAGCAAGTCAGATAGAG